GAAGCACAACCATGCACGAACCGGAGCCCGACCATGCACAACTCTTAGCCCAAGTGACACCCCCGGAGCCCGACCAGTTAAGTAACCGGAGCCCGACCAGTTGTGTAACCGGAGCTTAAACCAGTTGTGTAACCGGACCCGACCAGTTATGTAACCGCAAACCTAGCATAAACGAACCAAACAAACAATTCCAAAACATCAAACAAACAAACGAAACCTGAAGCACAACCATGCACGAACCGAAGCCCGACCATGCACAACCCTTAGCCCAAGTAACACCCCCGGAGCCCGACCAGTTAAGTAACCGGAGCCCGACCAGTTATATAACCGGAGCCCGACCAGTTATTTAAACCGGAGCCCGACCAGTTGTGTAACCGAAGCCCCACCAGTTGTGTAACCGGACCCCGACCAGTCGTGTAACCGAAACCCTACCAGTTGTGTAACTGCAAGCCTAGCAAGTATAAATCTCATTCAACCCCCACCAAGTTAAACAGCCTAGGAGTCCAACCAAACTCCATTCCTAGCTCTACCAAACAAAAATATCTTTAGCCCTACCTAAAACCCTCCATTTGCCCTAGAAACCAAGTGTTGAGTCATAGCACACATAAAATTGAGCTATGTACGAAAAAAGAAACCCAGATTTCTAGCAAATCCAGAAAGACAGAGTCCTAGTAAACAAACCTGGAGCACAACCATGCACGAACCGAAGCCCGACCATGCACAACCCTTAGCCCAAGTAACACCCCCGGAGCCCGACCAGTTAAGTAACCGGAGCCCGACCAGTTATATAACCGGAGCCCGACTAGTTATTTAAACCGGAGCCCGACCAGTTGTGTAACCGAAGCCCCACCAGTTGTGTAACCGGACCACGACCAGTTGTGTAACCGAAACCTTACCAGTTGTGTAACTGCAAGCCTAGCAAGTATAAATCTCATTCAACCCCCACCAAGTTAAACAGCCTAGGAGCCCAACCAAACTCCATTCCTAGCTCTACCAAACAAAAATATCTTTAGCCCTACCTAAAACCCTCCATTTGCCCTAGAAACCAACTATTGAGTCATAGCACACATAAAATTGAGCTATGTACGAAAAAAGAAACCCAGATTTCTAGCAAACATATAAAGACAGAGTCCTAGTAAACAAACCTGGAGCACAACCATGCACGAACCGAAGCCCGACCATGCACAACCCTTAGCCCAAGTAACACCCCCGGAGCCCGACCAGTTAAGTAACCGGAGCCCGACCAGTTATATAACCGGAGCCCGACCAGTTATTTAAACCGGAGCCCGACCAGTTGTGTAACCGAAGCCCCACCAGTTGTGTAACCGGACCACGACCAGTTGTGTAACCGAAACCCTACCAGTTGTGTAACTGCAAGCCTAGCAAGTATAAATCTCATTCAACCCCCACCTAGTTAAACAGCCTAGGAGCCCAACCAAACTCCATTCCTAGCTCTACCAAACAAAAATATCTTTAGCCCTACCTAAAACCCTCCACTTGCCCTAGAAACCAACTATGGAGTCATAGCAAACATAAAATTGAGCTATGTACGAAAAAAGAAACCCAGATTTCTAGCAAACATATAACCACAGAGCCCTAGTAAATAAACCTGGAGCACAACCATGCACGAACCGGAGCCCGACCATGCACAACCCTTAGCCCAAGTGACACCCCCGGAGCCCGACCAGTTATGTAACCGGAGCCCGACCAGTTGTGTAACCGAAGCCTCACCAGTTGTGTAACCGGACCCCGACCAGTTGTGTAACTGCAAGCCTGGCATAAACGAAATAAACAAACATCAAATAAACAAACATCTGAAGCACAACCATGCACGAACCGGAGCCCGACCATGCACAACTCTTAGCCCAAGTGACACCCCCGGAGCCCGACCAGTTAAGTAACCGGAGCCCGACCAGTTGTGTAACCGGAGCCTAAACCAGTTGTGTAACCGGACCCCGACCAGTTGTGTAACCGCAAGCCTAGCATAAACGAACCAAACAAACAATTCAAAACAAACAACATCAAACAAACAAACGACATCAAACAAACATCTGAAGCACAACCATGCATGAACCGAAGCCCGACCATGCACAACCCTTAGCCCAAGTGACGCCCCCACAGCCCGACCAGTTGTGTGACCGGAGCCCGACCAGTTATGTAACCGCAAGCCTAGCATAAACGAATCATACAAACAATTCAAAACAAACATCAAATAAACAAACAACATCTGAAGCACAACCATGCACGAATCGAAGCCCGACCATGCACAACCCTTAGCCCAAGTGACACCCCCGGAGCCCGACCAGTTAAGTAACCGGAGCCCGACCAGTTATGTAACCGGAGCCCGACCAGTTATTTAAACCGGAGCCCGACCAGTTGTGTAACCGAAGCCCCACCAGTTGTGTAACCGGACCCCGACCAGTTGTGTAACCGAAACCCTACCAGTTGTGTAACTGCAAGCCTAGCAAGTATACATCTCATTCAACCCCTACCAAGTTAAAAAACCTAGGAGTCCAACCAAACTCCATTCCTAGCTCTACCAAACAAAAATATCTTTAGCCCTACCTAAAACCCTCCACTTGCCCTAGAAACCAACTGTGGAGTCATAGCAAACATAAAATTGAGCTATGTACGAAAAAAGAAACCCAGATTTCTAGCAAACATATAACCACAGAGCCCTAGTAAATAAACCTGGAGCACAACCATGCACTAACCGGAGCCCGACTATGCACAACCCTTAGCCCAAGTGACACCCCCGGAGCCCGACCAGTTATGTAACCGGAGCCCGACCAGTTATGTAACCGGAGCCCGACCAGTTGTGTAACCGAAGCCTCACCAGTTGTGTAACCGGACCCCGACCAGTTGTGTAACTGCAAGCCTGGCATAAACGAAATAAACAAACATCAAATAAACAAACATCTGAAGCACAACCATGCACGAACCGGAGCCCGACCATGCACAACTCTTAGCCCAAGTGACACCCCCGGAGCCCGACCAGTTAAGTAACCGGAGCCCGACCAGTTGTGTAACCGGAGCCTAAACCAGTTGTGTAACCGGACCCCGACCAGTTGTGTAACCGCAAGCCTAGCATAAACGAACCAAACAAACAATTCAAAACAAAACATCAAACAAACAAACGACATCAAACAAACATCTGAAGCACAACCATGCATGAACCGAAGCCCGACCATGCACAACCCTTAGCCCAAGTGACACCCCCACAGCCCGACCAGTTGTGTAACCGGAGCCCGACCAGTTATGCAACCGCAAGCCTAGCATAAACGAATCAAACAAACAATTCAAAACAAACAACATCAAATAAACAAACAACATCTGAAGCACAACCATGCATGAACCGAAGCCCGACCATGCACAACCCTTAGCCCAAGTGACACCCCCGGAGCCCGACCAGTTAAGTAACCGGAGCCCGACCAGTTGTGTAACCGAAGCCCGACCAGTTGTGTAACCGGACCCCGACCAGTTGTGTAACCGCAAGCCTAGCATGGATACATCTCATTCTACCGCCACAAAGCTAAACACCAGAGCCCAACCAAACTGCCTTCCTAGCATTTCAAAAAAAAACAAAACACTTCCTTACCCCCTATCTAAATCCGCCCACTTGCCCTAGCAACCAACTATGAAGCCATAACAAACGGAATACTAAACAATTTGGAGGATGTCGATCCGGATAATGTCTTCAAAAGGTCAACACGAACAAGGAGCAACGGGTTCAAGCTCAACAAGCCACAATGTAGGACAGGAAACGGGATATGCTTTTTCACCCGTAGGGTTGTAAACCCGTGGAACCGCCTACCCGCCGAAGCCGTAAACGCCAAAACTCTGCTGGGTGTTAAAATACAGCTGGAAAATATCAGGGTAAATGGGGGGGAAGGGGGGGGGGAGACTTTTGACACGCCGCCGGCTTAATGTCCTCATCGAAGCCACTAGTGTTAGTAGCCTCAAGAAAATTCAGTTCCTGGAGGGGTGTCCCCGCTCCTTCCTGTTGGGAAGTTGTTCAACTATTGCAGTGTACACAGGACTGTCGCTTGTCACTGAACTTAGTTTTGTAAAATATTAACTTTAAATAATATTACCTTATACGTGAGAATAATTCTGAATACGCAGTGCAATAAAATTGACGACTGCGGCTGTGGGTAGGGCGGCCGCGTAGGTGAGCCTGGCCTGAGGACAGGCAACCGTAAATGCTTCACCCTCCACATGCTTCAAGTGTAAATAATTGCCAACAGAACCTAAATGCCGAACCTACTATACGCCTAATTAAAGTTAAAATGTAAAACATTATTCTATACACGATAAAAACTATTCTTAATACACAGTACATACACGTACAGGGAGCCGGTGACTTGAGCGGACAGAACACTGGACGCGTGATCCTGTGGTCCCAGGTTCGATCCCGGGGGCCGGCGAGAAACAATGGGCAGAGTTTCTTTCACCCTGATGCTCCTGTTACCTAGCAGCAAATAGGTACCTGAGAGTTAGGCAGCTGTCACGGGCTGCTTCCTGGGGGTGGAGGCCTAGTCGAGGACCGGGCCGCGGGGACACTAAGCCCCGAAATCATCTTACGATAACCATAAAGTCGATAATAAATGCGTCTTGAGAGGGGTCGTTGAGGGGGGGGGGGTCGACCGCCGCGTTAACAAGCCTAGCCTGACGAGGAAAACAAAAAAGACGTGGTGGTTTAACACTATGGGGAAGTGACATGTATTCTACATATCTTCCCCATATAATGTTGGCAAATCATGATCCTCAAAATCTTCCGCAATATCCGAGAGGACAGGCTATTGAGCATTAGTGGAATACAAACATTTGAATACTGCAGAACCCAGATGAAAAAAAACAATACGGAAACATTACAAAAACTATGCTATAATAACGAACAAATGTATAATGCATTAAGCATTGTAGGTGGAGGTAGACTGTATATTCATGCGTACCTACCAACTGCTAAGATATATTGGAAAAATAAATATTAGCCTTACCTAGGGGGAACGAGGAACCTTACGCCGCCGCTGCTTCCTGACGACTGGCGGGGCGGCGGTAGTCAATGAACGGCAGGCGACCAACCAACCCAGAGACCCCCTGCCTAAAATTATTTGAACACCATATTGAAATTCCTAGCGTATAGCGCCAGGAGTGTGTAAATTAATATTTATATATGCATTATAGGCCATTCTAAAGTAATTTATAGATCTGAATATCATATATTGTCTAATAAACGAATTATTTAAGTTAATATTTTAATTACGCCAGATAAAGCCTCATCGCTCACAAGAAAATTCGTCAGCGTATTTTTTGTATTTTTTTGTATTTATATATATATATATATATATATATATATATATATATATATATATATATATATATATATATATATATATATATAAAAAGAGTTCTTAAATTCTTGTAAAGCCACTAGCATGCATAGCGTTTCGGGTAGGTTCTTAATCCTAATGTTTTCCTCGGAATACGACCTGCCAAATCATTTAACAACCTATTCACTGCTGGGTGAACAGTTAAAGATTGGCGGCCGGTCAATTCTCCTCGGCCACAGGATACAAACCCGCGCTTTACCACTACGCCATACAGACTGCTCCGTTGGGGGGTAGAAATAGCCTAAGCTACTTTATCCCTTTGAGATGTATTTCTTTCTTGTCTCAATAAACATACTTGAACTTGAACTGCTCCGTGGTGTAGCGGATTTTTGAATTTTGAAACCTAACTCGCCTAGCTCAACCCAACCTAAACTAATGTAGCGAGTCAATCTTATACTCGTTCCATTATCTTAATAGCATAACTAATTAGCACTAATTACAGAAGCTACAATCCTTTCCCCAGTTACAGGTAATACTCTTATCTTGTTGGAGGGAGCTGAGGTGTAGTCACCATATAAGCAAGCGATATGAGGAATAGCTGATTACGGGCTATTCATGCCCGTGCCACCTCTTGGGTGGCTTAATCTTTATCAATCGGAATAGCTGAGTGAACTAAAGGCATTATACATAGACAATGGCCTGGCCCCCATCATAGCCACTGGCGTAAATCTCACTGCGTCCTCTACCACTCCGGAGACTACCACCAGGACGACCATGCGGTCAACTTCAACACCGACTCCAGAACCGCCCATGACCCGGGCGACACAAACAGAGGTAATTCCTTCTCCCGCTCCCAACACTCCTACCATCACTATCTCAGCAGCCGCGCTAGCAGACGTGCTGTCTACAAACGATAACAGCACCACCAGCGCTCCTGAAAGAGCTACAACCACCAATCAACGTCACCTAAGCCTACCTAAGGCTGCGAGGCGAAAGACAAATCGCCCACTACGGAGGTTACGGACTCCTCAGACGAGGAAATCATAGTAGGAGCTCCACCGCCGCATCACAAATACGACACCTACACGATTCAAGACTTCTTCATGGAGGCCACGTCACCAAACTCCAACGACAACACTCCTCAGCCAAATTCGCAGGCAAAGAAAAAACGGAAAACCTAAAGATCTACACTAATCCCACCAGCTCCATAACTGGCATAGCCAGCCCTCCAGGCTGAAAACCATCATGAAGACCCCCATCCATCGCCAGATCTCTAGTATCAACCACTGATACAGATAATGGCTCCAAATAGCCTCCACTAACGGGCTCATCATAGCCCGTGCTACTGGAACTTATTGTTCTGAGTAGCTGAATCTAAAACAACAACAGGAATAGCGGGACGGGAGACATCTCCCGTCACGCAGGGTGCAGTTGCACTTTCACAGATCTCCAGTATCATCTATTGATAATGGCTCAAAAGGGCTACCACTTACGGGCTATTCATGCCCGTGCCACCTTTTGGGTGACTTAATCTTCTTCAATCAATCAATAGCGGACAGTACAATTTCCAGTTAAGAATGTAGCACTTGGCGTAGACAGTTCTGATCGTCTACAAGACGCTACAGCTTCGACACAGAACAGGCAGCAGACTAGGACCGCATCCAGCTACAACGCTCTCCCACAGAGCTCCGCGACTCCGGCCAAACTCGGCTCTCTGTTCTACTCCAAGCTCCGTCTCAACGTCGACGACACTGCTGTATCCAGGCCTACTAAATAAATGTGAAACTCACTAAAAACTGTGTATCTAATCTACCCAACAACGTAACATAAACGTACGTTACATTGGTGACCCCAGAGTGTTGCGACGATACCCAGCCACGACTGACTACAACATGGACCTCTACTGCTACTGCTGCATGGTGTGGACCGCTGCCACCTGTCATGGAACGCTCCCAACAGCCTCACTACAGCTGGTCACCGCCGGTATGATTTTCACCGCGATCATCTCTGCATTTTCATCAACTACAGCTTGCTGCACCGCGAGCGTTACTTACTCATCTGACAGTTTAATCAGCAACTACATCATGTGGGATCTACAGCCTGTCCTGCCGACTCTTCGTCGCTGCCAGGGCACTGCTTGTTCTACAGGGACTCTCACGAAAGCTGCTCTTTCGTCAGATTCATCTACACGTTCACTGCATTCTGATACTCTGTCGACTCAAGCACCTTGCGCAGTACAGGACTTACAGCTTGCGTTTCCGACTCTTCCTCGCCTCGAGGACAATTCAGCTCTTGCACTGATTCCCTAGTTGTCCTAACTACGTGCCTACATTACCTCCTATTGTCCTGGTGCCCGAGCCCATCCGCCTCGGATCTAAATGCTCCACCAGCGACCCAAGGACGCAACAATCATGCACATTCTTCTCTCCGGCTACACCGAGCTTGTCCACACACTGCCTACATCTTTTGGTACCGGACTACATGTTCCACAGCGACCCAGGGAACAGTAGCCTCGTATTTTTTGTTATATTGCTTTTCTTTCATTCCCTGGCAGGGGGAGTCCTGTAGCGAGTTAATCTTATACTCGCTCCATTATCTTAATAGCATAACTAATTAGCACTAATTACAGAAACTACAATCCTTTCCCCCAATTACAGGTAATACTCTTCTCATCTTGTTGGAGGGAGCTGAGGTGTAGTCACCATATAAGCAAGCGATATGAGGAATAGCAACACGGGGGACATCTCCCGTCACGCAGGGTGCAGTCGCACCTCCACAGATCTCCAGTATCAGCTCTTGATACGGGTAATGGCTCAATAGGGCCACCACTTACAGGCTATTCATACCCGTGCCACCTTTTGGGTGGCTTAATCTTCATCAATCAATCGGAATAGCGGCACAGCACATGCAGCACCGCTCCTGTGCCAGGTAAGGCGGAGCAGGTGTCCCGACGTCCATTCGTCGTCAAGATAGAACCAGGAGTCAAGGTCAGGGTTGTTGTTGATTTAAGGGCGACGACAATCGTGGGATTGGATGCGCTCCGGCGTACCCGTAAAGAGTTAATCGCGAAGCCTGGAAAGGTGAAACGCCAAGCCAACTCGCGAAACGAGTGACGCCAATCACTGGATACTAATATGCCTCGCGGCAAAAAACGCAGACAGGCATGTGATTGGAGAGCCCCAGGAGTCCCCTCAGGATGACAAGCACCGGCCCCGCCCCGCACAAAGAACACCGGGCAGCAAAATAAAAAAAACTCGGCCCCAGCTAAAACGCAAAAGTCATCCAGTGCCCCCTGACAGAGGAGAAGCCAGCCGCTTACCACGGCTGAGGGCACACCAGGAGCCCACCAAGACCCACTAACTCCTGGCACCTCTTGGCCAAGCCGGCCCCGGACACCGTCACCCCGCCGGGAGAACCAGCACACGCTAAAAAATCTATCAACAACCCGGTGACCCAAGGCGATATGTGCGCCAGGCGTAGTACAAACCGGACCGTTGAAGAGGAATGCCAAACGGCAGTAGCAAATCTAAAATCGCAAAACCAAACGTAAGCCGGTGGCTCCCAGGCGGAGGAGGCGTCCAGACGTCCTCTCCGCGTCAAGGTTGAACAAGAAGTCCGTGGTCATGTTTATGTTGTCAGCTGAAAACAAATATTTTAAATAGTTCCCGGTCATGCTGCTTTTATTCTTTTATTATTGGGATTGTGTCCCAATAATAAAATATTTTGATTTCATATACATTTTAATTATATGATTTGTCTAATGTTAATGTCAAATTTTTAGTACTGAAGGCATATATTTGGCACAAATATTGTTGAATATTCAGATGCTGTACTCTACAATCAGAGCCGGATTTAAGCACAAGGTTAAGGCCGGGACGATAAATTTGTTCGTGGCATTCGTTACATTTACTAGAATTTACCTAAGGGTCACCATCACTATTAGCCTCGACAGGAACAGGAAGCCGGCGGGTTGTCAAAAGTTCCCACATTGTTCCTGAGAATATTTCCCATCCGGACGTGATGCTCTCATCCAACTCAACTGACCTTGAGCTCCAAATTTGGTGGCAAGTTGTCTAAGATGACTAGCAATATCTGCTGTTTATTATACCCTGGGACAGGAAGCAGGCGGCTTGTCATAGGTCCCCACATTGTTCCTGACGATTCCCTTTATCTTGATTCCTTCTGCAGTCCGTGGCGCAGTGGTAAAACACTCGCCCGGAGCTTCACTAACGCTTTGTCCTGGGTTCGTATCCTGGCCGGGGGGGGGGGGGGGTCGACCTGGTGCCAATCCTTAACTGTAGCCTCTGTTCACCCAGCAGTGAATGGGTACCTGCTTGTTAAATGATTTGGCGGGTTGTATTCAAGGGTAAAAATTTGGATTTAAGGACCTGCCCGAAACGTTATTCGTGCTAGTGGCTTTACGAAAATGTAACAACTCTTGTAAAAATAAATAAATATATAAATTAATTTTGAAATGCAATAATATCTTGGTATTTACAACTTCGGTGGGTAGGCGAGTCCATGGGCATGAAGGTGTTGCCCTCTTGTATACATTACATATAACCTATTTTTTTTAAAAGTTGCTGGGATTAATATCTTACATCAGACTATTACCTATAATCTAATCTGGGAGTGTGTGCGTGTGTCCGTGGATATATACACGAGGATATATACTTGAGAATATATACAACAGATGAATTAGATACAAGTAGTTTTTATTCAGTAGCAATATTAGTTTCCATACAAGAAACTATGCGACCTTGGTCTCTCACATTACAATAACAACACAATAATCATCCATTCTACAAAAATATTGTTTTGTTTAATGATTTACGACAATGAAGCAGAGAAAATGCTCTTGAAGATCATCAAATACTTAAACCATTAACTGGTCATAGATGGAATATTTTTCAGTGTTACGAAATAAATTACACTGGACGTACAAATGTTCTTCCTACTTAACTATAATATTAAATTTAACTCTGTACTAAACCCAAGCCAGGAAGAGCAGGGCACAAATGTACAATAAACAGTTAACAGTAGCGAACACATCCGGATAAAATATACAGAATTTTACATTTTGTTATTCACGTCTTCTACATAATACTGCATGCAGTATTATGTTAGAATTATGTATCATGCATGTGTGTATGTCCGCACCGTTTTCAGAGTGATACAAAACAGACAACTGCAATTGCTCCACTGTCACTCTTTCTGTTATGTCTTGTCTTCTGTTATCTTGTTATCTATTACAGCTCTTTTTCTATTGTTTTGTTTTCTAAAGAGATTTTATATTACACGTTTTCTAATAATGTTCATTTTATATTACAGCTCATTTAAAGTCATCTTAAACATGTATTTATTCCTGTTATCATTTCATAATGGATAATCCAATATTTAGAATTAGAATGTTCACACAATTTTCTATATTATGCCTCGAATACCTGGAAATCACGTAGGAAAATGATAGAACTTACTCTTGATAATGTAATCGATTCTCTCTCTCTCTGTATATATATATATATATATATATATATATATATATATATATATATATATATATATATATATATATATATATATATATATATATACACACATATTAACTTTGGAAATCCTTCGTATAACTTTTTTTTCGCACATTAAAACATCGGGGAAGAAATTGAGATACACAAGTACATAAAAATATAATCGATATGTACAGTTATCACAGCACAGCTGACAATGTCTATGGCTGCGAATGCCTTCCTAGACAATTCATTGAGCATAGGGAGTGGCTGTTGTTGCTACTTGTCTTGACAGTGTTACTTGGTTACTTGAACAGCTGGATAAGAAACATACACTTCACCATGTACACAAAAATAATGGCAAATTGCATTTCGAATTTCCTGTTCAGTACTCATACGTTGAGCAAGACGGTGAAGAACACTACTGCTGGTGTAGGTGGTTCTGACAGAGGACGTCGTGTGAAGAACACTACTGCTGGTGTAGGTGGTTCTGACAGAACACGTAGTGTGAAGAACACTACTGCTGGTGTAGGTGGTTCTGACAGAACACGTCGTGTGAAGAACACTACTGCTAGTACAGGTGGTTCTGATAGAACACGTAGAACACTACTGCTGGTACAAGTGGTTCTGACAGAGGACGTCGTGGACAGGAATGGAGGCAAATCCAGCTAACATTGCCGGAAGGAACAAAGATACCGGGAAAATTCCCAGGCAAAATTCTCGTTCCTTATCACCTGCCTGAAAGTAAGAAAACCACTCTGGGTGAATTCTGCGATGGACTACTGCAAATTCTCAACTAAATTTGTTTAATATTACGGTGACCCTCACCTTTGGTATCTGAAACGAAGATCTGCAAAGTTCAATTACATTTCGCATATTGCTTTAGAATACATTATAGCCTAGGGTGACACTATACCCCGTAGGAGTTCGGATATAGTAACACAATCTGTGTTTGAATGCTTTATTGTGATATCATGCAATTAAAGAATTGGAACTACTGAAGTTTTTTTGGTACAGTTTCAACGACGACGTTGACCAAACCACACACTAGAAAGTGAAGGGACGACGACGTTTCGTCCCACAATCTACTTGAGAATGGTCCAGGACGGACCGAAACGTCGTCGTCCCTTCACTCTCTAGTGTGTGGTCTGGTCCACATATTTCAGCCACGTTATTGTGACTCCTCGTCTGCATGTTTACCTTTTCGTGCATATTGAATACTGTTGACCTGAAGGCTGCACCTTCGAGCAGACCCTGAAGGAAGAGAAGGGTAAAGATGATGTACTCGGACGGGAGGTAGTGGTAGTGCGCCTCCGTCCCCACCACCAACACGATCACCATCTGAAATACGGGAACAATTGATGCTTTACCGTTCTGGCTACTATAAGAAATTCAAAGTCGTACATTTAAAGATTCTAATCTAGTTTCCTGCATGTTGATTAGACCTACAAGCTTTGAAAATACAGTAAAATGAGTTGCGTTATATAATCCCTTATCATATTAATACTCAAATGCTTTCCTGACGAAGCAATAACGGCAGTACACTTATACATTAAGGCAGCGTCTGGGATGCTCTCAGACGTTGGTTCGAATCCTCGTCACGGCCCTTGTGGATTTGCTCATTTAATAACGACAGTCATCTTCTTCAACCCATCAAGTTTTCTTGAGACAGAAAGAGTGCCCGATTCAGGATGTCAAGATCCTTTCTCCCCACTGAAGACTCACTAGGGACGGAGGGAGTTGTACGGAGAAAGCGCCAAGCCATTACGCCTATATAGCACTGGTAAGGGATAAGGATAAGCATTTGGAATGGGACGGGGAAAAGGAATGGTGCCCAACCACTTGGATGGTCGGGGATTGAACGCCGACCTGTTGTTCTACCGTCCACCCCAAGTGGTTAGACTCACTAGGGAGGGCTGCTAATACCTGTGGACTGGAACCGCCAGTACAGCTTCCACTGACCATGAAATATAAGGGCTTGCCCACCTACCATCAGGAAGAAGGAATTAGATTTTCTTGACAGTATTTTATCCTTCCTAGGCACTGGAAATCTAGGAATTACCTCGTATCATAATTATAAATATGAAATGCCTTAATAGATGAAACTCAGAATGCTTCAAATCGATTTAAATTTATGGATTTAAAGACTGTAAAGGGATTCAAAGTCTTGTCTCATACTTCCTGGAGAGTTGATCATAGCTGTACTGTACAGAGCTGTACATCAAGTCATAGACAGATTGGGGGAAGAAGAGTGTAACTATAGGATTTCAAGATGATCAACCTTATATAAACGTGATTTTATTGCGTACATAATACACTGTACAATACTTACAGCCAGTGCACTGTATATCCAAGTGCTGGGGAGTAGGAAGAACTTGTGTGCACTGCGGGAGATGAGGGTACCCAAGCACCTCACAGTGTTGCTCCAGGAATACTGCTGCGCATGCGTCAGGTGCGACGCTGGGAAGTAAACAAGCTCCAGCTAATGGCGGCACGTGGAACAGAGAGAAAAACAAAACAAAAGCATAACTTTATACATTATTGAATATGTTAATGCAGTTGGGTAATATGTGGATGCACTGTGTAATTGTACCAAATGTAGCTATAGGATGAAAGCTACACTCATGGTGCCCAGTCTTCCCTACAGGCTTTGTCAGGTGACGTTTTCAAGCACCTGATGGCTTTAGCATACATTTCCTCTCTTAATTAAAATATTAAATCATATCAGTCTCTTATTCCCAGCAGCTTATCATCTGCCAATATGTCCTTATAACTGTGTCCCTGCTGGTAGGTTATATAATATATATATATATATATATATATATATATATATATATATATATATATATATATATATATATATATATATATATATATACACACACACATATACATATGTTGATTTAATATATATATGAAATATATGAAAATTTCTAAGGAGCAGGAGAGATGCATTTCCTCATTTCATTTTCCTTGTGGATACTTACGCATAACAGAATCACGTGCTTTTTTGTATGACAACTACAATATACAGGAAAAAGGAAAAATGCAGGTGAGATTAAGACAGATAGGTTAGGTTAGGTTAGGTTAGGTTAGGTTAGAATCTAACCTATCCATGCGAACAAATACATTATAGTGTACTGTGTGTGCTGGTTTAATGTGTCTGTTAGAACGCCGTTTGTTGGTATAATGTATATGTTAGGATGTTGTCTGGTACTATAATGTTTCTGTTGGCGTAATGTATCTGTTGGTATTATAGTATCTATTGATACAATGCGTCTCTTGGTACAATTAATTTCTTGGTACAATGCATCTGTTGGCATAACTCAAGCTCTTGGTATAACCTTGACGAAGGAGCAGGAAAAGAGAGCTCAACTTACCAGTCCCTGGTTTGTGAAGTACATTATGAAGTAGAAAACTGACAGGGGCAGCAGATATTGCTTGGCTCTCTGAAACAAGAGAAAAATCACACGAATTAACTTAACATACACTGAACGGAAGCCAATATGTATGCCAGCTCAAGAGATTAAGCCCCGCACGGTTACATTAACATATATTCCAAAGCAGTTTAGAATTAATGGGCACCCATTTCAGTATAGGAAGAATTAATACCCATGGACTTCCTCTTCAGCTGAGATCAGTTTCAAAACTCATAGGATACCCCTATTTAGTTAAGAAGTGTCTCATACCCATGGGCACCCACTTACAATTAGGTTATAGAACTTTAATTTAACATAGTTAAATTTCTTTTTTTTTTTTTTTTTTTTTTTTTTTGAGATATATACAAGAGTTGCTACATTCTTGTAGAGCCACTAGTACGCGTAGCGTTTCGGGCAGGTCCCTGGAATACGATCCCCTGCCGCGAAGAATCGTTTTTTCATCCAAGTACACATTTTACTGTTGCGTTAAACAGAGGCTACAGTTAAGGAATTGCGCCCAGTAAATCCTCCCCGGCCAGGATACGAACCCATGACATAGCGCTCGCGGAACGCCAGGCGAGTGTCTTACCACTACACCACGGAGACTGCCAGTAACAGTCGCTTAACAGTAAAGCAACGCCAAATTTACCAAGAGCAAGAAGAGTTTTTCTTTAACAATAGCCAATCTCTTTTGTTTATCGTTTTCAGCGTCCTGAGCCGAGTTATAGGCCAGTGTGTCCTGTGTGTCAGCCTCCACACCCGCCTCACTCTTCACCAACCGGCTCAAAATGCACCAGAAACTGAAACATAAAAAACGCATCTGAAATGTGTGTGTTCATTAGTGGTAACACATCAACGTTTTATTATTACATTTGATGTAAACTATATGAAATATTTAGCATTTCTCTAAATATTTATATCATTGGTAGCTTAATTTATAAACTAACACCTAACTTAGTTGTTGGTTCTTTAATATTAGTAGAGAACTAGTGTATAGTGATGATGGGAATGATGAGGACGATGAGAGCGTAACACACACACACACGTACCTGACGACGATGATGATGGGAACGATGAGGAAGACGAGGAGAGCGTGACGAGGACTCATGCCGCCAGTGGTGAGACTGGAGTAGAGCAGAGGACCCAGGAACGTGGCCACGCCCGTCCCGGACGACCACAGCGACAACACGTGCCTGAAGCCATCGCCAACACCACAGTTACTCCTCGTAATGCAAAGTGGCTATTTATACAACAACAACCAATCTATTACAAAATTATACGTATGGTCATGAAACAAATGATATGTATTCCTTACTTGTGATAGTGGGCTGCGTGACCCAGAAAAGTGGTGTCAGAGAAGCCGCGCGACGCCGAAGCCAGCGCCACGCCAAGGAAAACAAATTTGGAGGTGGCCAAGCCTAGGACGAGGTAGGAGGCGACGCAGAGGCCGCCCACCAGCCACACCCGCAGGTCCACGCCCGCCAGCAGCGTCAAGGGCGCCGCCAGGGTGAGGGCGGTCGCCGGGAGGGTGTCAGCCACCAGGATGGCCTAGGGTAAAACGCCTGTCATGACTCGGGAGTTGGAGGCTTTAACAATGCATTAGTTGCCTTGCTATATGCCTCTCTGTATATAAACACTTTAATATATATATTATATTAAACATGCCACACACTGGATATTGTATTTTTCCATCAGTATGTTAATGGCATTAAGAAAGTTGGAAATTCTCGTCATTACTACATATTTTTTTTTTTTTTTTTTGAGATATATACAAGAGTTGTTACATTCTTGTAGAGCCACTAGTACGCGTAGCGTTTCGGGCAGGTCCCTGGAATACGATCCCCTGCCGCGAAGAATCGTTTTTTCATCCAAGTACACATTTTACTGTTGCGTTAAACAGAGGCTACAGTTAAGGAATTGCGCCCAGTAAATCCTCCCCGGCCAGGATTCGAACCCATGACAAAGCGCTCGCGGAACGCCAGGCGAGTGTCTTACCACTACACCACGGAGACTGCTTATATATACCCTGCCTCCATATCATCGAATGGAGAGGCATCAGCCCTGAAGGAATTGGAGAACAAATAAGGGCAAAAATACAAGACATGCCGTATTCATTACAAAGGGGGTATATATATCAGCTTCATTTTTACTGTACTCTATCAATATGAAAGGTCGACTATCTCAGGTTGACCTATACTGGGCGTAGGTCGACATAGTCGCGAGCACTGGGCGTAGGTCAACATAGTCGCGAGCACTGGGCGTAGGTCAGATTTGAGAATGTTGTTGGTTGTTATTTTGATCTTTGTAAGTAAGGTTTGTACATACAAGGCGGTCACTTATTTCGCTATGCTTCAGATCCATTTTCTTTGATTGCCATTTATGCACGCGAAACTAAAGGAATATTTTTACGGCCACGAAATAGTTACAGCAGTAGCAAGTTTATGTTGTTGTTGTTTTTTAAAAGTTGGAAAAGTTACATAAAATGTCAAAGTGTGTCAACTATAACCAAGTAGTATAATGTTTGGGGTAGAATTTGTTTTAGTTTTGTGCGAAACGCAATGCTATGCGTGCAAGTGGCTTTACAAGAAGGTAAGAACTCTTTCGTACATAACTAAAAATACAAAAATAGTATGATTTAGTACAGGGATATATTCACTGAGAAGTTCATTCAGTTTCTCAGTGTACATACACTTTGAGTCTATTTTAGTCTTAAGTTTAGGATTAAAGTATACCTGCTGATTGGGCGATAAGCCATTGTGGTGGCCTTAATAACCCTCCAGAGGTTGATAAGCCCTAAGCCCAACAACAACTCCACCCATATAGAAAAATATATAGTAAAAACCCATGAGATAATTACATAGCAACAAAGGATGATGTGCGCGTTAGTTCTCAGTAGCCAGGCAGATAGACGCATCCGGCCTTGGTGGTGGTGGTGGTGGCGGTGGTGGTGGACACCTCCAAATTAGGAAGCCGGGCGACAAGGGATATGTTCACCGAGAAACGAGATCTAACTCGCTTCTCAGTGTTAGTTAAGCTCTGTAAACGAGATCTAACTCGCTTCTCCGTGTTAGTTAAGCTCTGTAAACGAGATCTAACTCGCTTCTCAGTGTTAGTTAAGCTCTGTAAACGAGATCTAACTCGCTTCTCAGTGTTAGTTAAACTCTGTAAACAAGATCTAACTCGCTTCTCAGTGTTAGTTAAAGTCTGTAAACGAGATCTAACTCGCTTCTCAGTGTTAGTTAAAGTCTGTAAACAAGATCTAACTCGCTTCTCAGTGTTAGTTAAAGTCTGTAAACAAGATCTAACTCGCTTCTCCGTGTTAGTTAAACTCTGTAAACGAGATCTAACTCGCTTCTCAGTGTTAGTTAAACTCTATAAACTAGGTAATCACTGCTGTACCTTTGTTAAAAGAATATCTGGGGTTCAGTTCCTGAGCCATCATGTACTGCAGTAATGTTGCGCACCACCGCTCTTAACATATATATGGGGCGCATAATAAATGAACACATTTAAACTGTACCTTCCCAGGAATTGAACTTAGTTCCACTCCGTTGTGAGCCGACTGCTCTAACTACTATGCTACGAATTACGTCAATGTATTATTAGATTGAACAGCATTGCGTAGATTTACGTGTAACATTGTACTTGATCATTAAGGCTGTGACTCCTGTCAAACTGCAAACAGCTGCGTATAGCAGCCTGTTGACCTGATTATCAAACAGGCCTGGTCAGAGACCGGGCCGCGGGGACATTAATCCTAGGAAGCAACACAAGGTATGGCTAAAGCTTACTAGCTGGTTGAACCACAAACTCTTGTAGTGGCGTTAATAACCCTTCAGAGCCTGATAGGTCTGAAGCCTGACACCAAATCGAACTAGGACTTGGATTTCTCAATTTCTCTCAGAGAGAGAATCTCAATTTTTGTTTTCCAATCATCTTGCCTGTCGTCCAAATGGGATCACATATATTTTATATATGCATAAGTCGTCAGCTTGCGCGATGCTACATATATCTACCCTGGCTAAAAAACACCTACCTTCCCTTCAGTGTAGGTGGACAGGCGAGGTACAGTCACAAGGTTATTTAAAGAACTGGGGCGTCAGTATCACTTTCTCTCTATAATTTCGCTGGTCCTTGGAGCAAAAAGCATCAAACGTGTTCAGATTCAGATTCCAGGCTCATGAAAAGGACTAGATATCAAAGAGTATGGCAGCGTCATGTTCCAGCGCCTGGGCGTGGTGATCCAAAGAAGGAACGCCCTGATGCATCCTCGGGTCCCACCCGACCTATAATTCAGGAGCTCTAGGGGGGAGGCACAATCTCTCATTTTAATTTTAAGTACTTATTGCAAACTATAACAAATACTAAATCATTAACTACATAATTGGGGTTATACGGGGAAAAATTATTTTACATGCAATTTATATGGATCTATAAAGATTTTGAGTTTTTGTTGTGTTGACGATAATATGTCCTTGATAATACAACTATAGGGGAGGAAAACTACACGGGAGACATCTCCCGTCACGCAGGGTGCAGTCGCACCTCCACAGATCTCCAGTATCATCTATTGATACTGGAAATGGCTCAAAAGGGCCACCACTTACGGGCTATTCATGCCCAAGCCACCTTTTGGGTGGCTTAATCTTCTCTCTCTCTCTCTCTCTCTCTCTCTCTCTCTCTCTCTCTCTCTCTCTCTCTCTCTCTCTCTCTCTCGAGGAAAACTAACAAATAGTGAATCCTAACTTTCTAACAGGTTACACAGGTTCTAACACTGACGCGTTGTTCTGCATAATATGATTTACTTGAAGATTATAAGCCTATGTTAACACTGATGAACTTGAAACGTTAATTTATCTTAGCTGAAATACAAAGGTTACTGGATATTAGCGGTCCGTGGTCTTACCCCCGTGGAGTGTCTTAGACACTTGAAGGTGTTGACGAAGGTCTCTACACTCTCGTTTTGGGAGATCGTGCCATCGTAGGGAGGGCGGATGGTGACGCTGCTAGAGTTCTGTAGAGTAGGGCTGGACTGTTGCTGGGAGCGTTCAGTCACCGTCTGTTAGGAGAATATTGAGTTACTGGACCGTTGCTGGGAGCGTTCAGTCACCGTTTGTTAGGAGAATATTGAATTACTGGACGCGTTCAGTCACCGTTTGTTAGGAGGAGAATATTGAGTTACTGGACCGTTGCTGGGCGCGTTCAGTCACCGTCTGTTAGGAGAATATTGAGTTACTGGACCGTTGCTGGACCGCGTTCAGTCACCGTCTGTCAACAGGAGGTTGTAGGATCTTGAACTGTTGCCGAGTTCGTTCAGTGACCTTCTGCCAGGAAGAGGATAGAGATTATTGGACTCTTGCGGGGGCGCGTTTCACGGCCGTCTGACAGGAAGAGGAAGCAGATTATTGGTCAGCTGCTGGAAGAGGCTCCCACAACCGCTGCCACGGTATCCAAGATATTAGTAGATACTCTTAAAGATATTAGCTTTCTGATGCATGTAGTTACTAATTATTCAGCTCCACACACACACACACACACACACACACACACACACACACACACACACACACACACCCACACACACACACACACGCACACACGCACACACACACACACACACACACACAAGGTGAGGACACTGACCTGTGACTGAGAGCTAAGAAGGTCGTAAGCAGCGGTGATCATCACCCAATATGTGAAGTTGTTGCAGAACCCCAGCAGCCTGGGGAGTATAAGGGAGTATAAGGGAGCACTCTGGTATAATCCAGTAGTCTGGGGAGTATAAGGGAGTATAAAGGAGTATAAGGGAGCACTCTGGTATAATCCAGCAGCCTGGGGAGTATAAGGGAGTATAAGGGAGCACACTGGTATAATCCAGCAGCCTGGGGAGTATAAGGGAGCCCACTGGTATAATCCAGCAACCTGGGGAGTATAAGGGAGTATAAGGGAGCACTCTGGTATAATCCAGCAGCCTGGGGAGTATAAGGGAGTACGCTGGTATGATCCAACACCATTAGACGTATAAGGAAGAACACTATCGTATAGTCTAACAGAATCAGAGGTATAAGAAAGAACAGCGGATCCTTGGGTATATAAAAGAGAACACAAGTGCCTGGGGGGTATAAGGAAGAACACAGGTGCCTGGGAGAGTATAAGGAAGAACACAGGTGCCTGAGGGAGTGTAAGGAAGAACACACGTGCCTGAGGGAGTATAAGGAAGAACACAGGTGCCTGAGGGAGTGTAAGGAAGAACACAGGTGCCTGAGGGAGTGTAAGGAAGAACACAGGTGCCTGAGGGAGTGTAAGGAAGAACACAGGTGCCTGAGGGAGTGTAAGGAAGAACACAGGTGCCTGAGGGAGTGTAAGGAAGAACACAGGTGCCTGAGGGAGTGTAAGGAAGAACACAGGTGCCTGAGGGAGTGTAAGGAAGAACACAGGTGCCTGGGAGAGTATAAGGAAGAACACAGGTGCCTGAGGGAGTGTAAGGAAGAACACAGGTGCCTGAGGGAGTATAAGGAAAAACACAGGTGCCTGGGAGAGTATAAGGAAGAACACAGGTGCCTGGGAGAGTATAAGGAAGAACACAGGTGCCTGAGGGAGTGTAAGGAAGAACACAGGTGCCTGGGAGAGTATAAGGAAGAACACAGGTGCCTGAGGGAGTGTAAGGAAGAACACAGGTGCCTGAGGGAGTATAAGGAAGAACACAGGTGCCTGAGGGAGTGTAAGGAAGAACACAGGTGCCTGAGGGAGTATAAGGAAGAACACAGGTGCCTGTGGGAGTATAAGGAAGAACACAGGTGCCTGAGGGAGTATAAGGAAGAACACAGGTGCCTGAGGGAGTATAAGGAAGAACACAGGTGCCTGTGGGAATATAAGGAAGAACACAGGTGCCTGGGGAGTATAAGGAAGAACACAGGTGCCTGGGGAGTATAAGGAAGAACACAGGTGCCTGGGAGAGTATAAGGAAGAACACAGGTGCCTGTGGAAGTATAAGGAAGAACACAGGTGCCTGAGGGAGTATAAGGAAGAACACAGGTGCCTGAGGGAGTATAAGGAAGAACACAGGTGCCTGGGGGAGTATAAGGAAGAACACAGGTGCCTGAGGGGGTATAAGGAAGAAGATGAGCATCACTGCCTACATAACTTAGCAGTAATGAGCAATAACTTCCCGGACGGGGTTACTTGTTACTCTATTGTTCAGTGATGATCAACTTCCCCGGGAGACCTGCCGGCTGGGGCGGGCCAGCTTCTCATGGTGGCCGGCTGGTCCTGGCTGGGACCACACCGTACCTGACATGGTGGCCGGCTGTGACCACACCGTACCTGACATGGTGGCCGGCTGTGACCACACCGTCCCCTACACGGTAGCCGGCTGTGACCACACCGTCTTCTACACGGTAGCCGGCTGTGACCACACCGTCCCCTACACGGTAGCCGGCTGTGACCACACCGTCTTCTACACGGTAGCCGGCTGTGACCACACCGTCCCCTACACGGTAGCCGGCTGTGACCACACCGTCTTCTACACGGTAGCCGGCTGTGACCACACCGTCTTCTACACGGTAGCCGGCTGTGACCTACACCGTCCCCGACACAGTGGCCGGATGCCCCTATCATGGCGGTCGACCTCCTTTTCTCCGCTCCCCCTAATTACATAAATACACGAAAGTAAACCGCATTATGCTACAAGATGCTCTCACCAATAGGCTACTAGGTCTCGGTGGCGTCGCGGGGGTCCTCGGTACATCCCAATACCTTCTTCCAGTTCCTCGTCTCTCTCTCTTCCCTTCTTCTCTCTCCCTCTTGGCTCTTCTCCATCTGTCTCTGTCCCTCGCCCCTTCCTTCTTCCTGCAGGATGGGCGGGAGGGGTGAGGTGGCCGGGGTGGCTGGGTGTGGCGGGCCGGAGCGGCTGCTGCTGGCTGCTCGGGTCTTCTTCCTGCTGCTGCTTCAGGAGTTTGTCTGCTGCTGAGCTCGTCTTCTCGTCTGCTTCTGTGGGAAGGACAGAACATTAGTGTAGGATATGGTCTCTCTCTCTCTCTCTCTCTCTCTCTCTCTCTCTCTCTCTCTCTCTCTCTCTCTCTCTCTCTCTCTCTCTCTCTCTCTCTAATAATAATAATAATAAATTGAAAACTGCAAAGTAATAATGTACTTTGTGTTGCGTGAAGTGCTGCGTGATGCATGTTATGTAACTCAAAGGTCAGGTCCCCGAGGACGAGGGGACGGAGGCTGACCTTGAGCGACACTAGGTAGAGCTGACCTTCAGTGCCAACCATGTCAAGTGATGTGGCCTTGAGACCCGTGACCGACACCACCATATGGGAGGCTGGCGGGGCGCTCGACCAGATTCATCTCCCAGATGTCCACAGCTTAAACATCCTCCTGATGCCCACAGCTTCACAGCCTCCTGATGCCCACAGCTTCACAGCCTCCTGATGCCCACAGCTTCACATCCCCCATATGCCCACAGCTTCAACAATTAACAACTTCCCCCTCTGCTCTCACGTACTTCCCCATCCCCCACGACCTCTCCCTTGCTCTTCCTTCTCAACAACTGCCACTCTCTTACTTCCCTAGCAGTAAAACTGCTATGGAGGTACTAGTTCCAAGCACAACTAGGCGAGACTCCGAAGCACTCTATAAAGAGTGGAGTGAAAGCAAGACATGCCTGACTAGGAGGCTGTATGGCCTCCTGGCTGTCAAGAGGAGGCTGTATGGCCTCCTGGCTGTCAAGAGGAGGCTGTATGGCCTCCTGGCTGTCAAGAGGAGGCTGTATGGCCTCCTGGCTGTCAAGAGGAGGCTGTATGGCCTCCTGGCTGTCAAGAGGAGGCTGTATGGCCTCCTGTCAAGATGAGGCTGTATGGCCTCTAGGCTGTCAAGATGAGGCTGTATGGCCTCTAGGCTGTCAAGATGAGGCTGTATGGCCTCCAGGCTGTCAAGATGAGGCTGTATATGGCCTCCTGGCTGTCAAGATGAGGCTGTATATGACCTCCTGGCTGTCAAGATCAGTCTCTGGTCCACAAAGACTACTAGCAAGAGTTTCTGAGAAAATCATATCACTGCTGAAGGAGGTATACGAGTCAGAAGAATTGTACTCTTTTTTAAGGCACCATAAATGTCACGTGATGATAATATCAGTGACAAGTTGATGATACACAAGTGTGACGGTTTGATGATACACAGGTGTGACGGGTTGATGATAGACAGGTGTGCCAGACAGAAAAAGGTCAACCTTCGCTTACATCCATTGCAACCTTCATAACCACAGTTAAATTACCTCCATTGTAGATGAATACCTCCGAAAGCCCAAGTCTACTTCAGAAACAGCTGGTCAGTACATTACAGCTACATATCAGTGTCACTGCTGTCAATCACTACTGCAATTTGGGAGATAATGATCTGGCTGCACAATAGCAACATTCCCTGGCGACCACTTGCTTTTGTGTGTGTGGCTGATGACAAGCTGGTCCCAGAAAAGGCTCAGCAGACGGTCTTATGGTCAATATAGCCATTACTGACCTTTGGGCGGCCTCCTACAGCTTCAGGCGCTAAAAGTTTTCAGAGACAATCGCCCTTTCATGGTGGGTCGAGTCAGCGGGCCACTCCCTGATCACTAATACGCAGCGTCAGTCTCAGTGGGTCACAACTATCGAAAATTGTCTAACGATGTATTGATCTTCATTTCTGAAGCTCGTGCTCGACCAGATGACTGACTGCACTTGAACCTAACTTCCCCTACTTACAGGATTAAATTTGACATTTACGCTCGCAAGAGATACATTTTGGTGCGGAGACAATACATTAATGGAGAATCAGCGAGTCTGGGAGGGGTGCCTGAAGGATAATTAGGAATACGATCACAACCCTGGCACCCCAGCCGCGGCACCACAATCCATGGCACCCCCCACAGCACTTTTTTAAGTGACGCTTTTATGATACACTATTGAGACCCGGAATGTTGGTACCCTTCCGCGTTCCCAACGGGGAGTGGGCATGGGGGAATATGGACATGGGGAAGGGGGAAGAGGTGAGGGCAATAGGGGCTGAGGGAGCTACACCCACCTGTTGCCCCGTCGGAGGCGAGGCGTGGGCAAGGGGAGTCGTCACATTCCTGCAGGATACACTGTCGACACTCTGCGTCCTCCTGCAACTGTTGGTGTTTGTACAGCACCATCCCGTACCTTCTGGTGGGCAGCTGGCTCAGATGTCCAGGCTAAGCTTGGCTAGATATGACGGAGGAGGACTAGGTCAGGTGTGCAGGAGGCAAGCCAGGTGTACAGGAGGTGCCTTGCTCACGTATGTACGAGGTAAGTTATGACCAATGAAACCCACGATAACGTGATAAATCTATGAATAAACAAACTGAATAATGCTTGTGCCTGAGGTGATCATGAACGCGGATTGGTCCGACGTAAAGCTTCAAGATTTAGTCGTAGCTATGAAAGGTGGCGGCTCGGCGAGGCGGTCAGCTATAGACTGAACAAATGCGTAGGTGGTGGGAGGCAGATGACAGCTTATACCACGATCCAGACTGAACCTGAAGGAACACAGCCTCTCTCTTAAGGGGACAAAGGAAGGTGTGAGAGTCAGGTCCTGAGCGAAGGGTGAGGGTAAGGGCGTGAGCCAGGGCCCGAGGGGAGGTCCGGGAGCCAGGTCCTGAGAAGACGGGAGTGATCCAGGTTGCGGGTTCGCCACTTGCAGGGGCATGCGAACACACGTTGTTGTCACCTGGAAAAAAGGGAGAAAAAATCATATTAATATAAGTAATCATGAAGTTAGGATCAGAGAGCAGAAACAGACTGAAGATGAAGGTGTAACACACACAGGAGGGAGCGATACAGTCAGCCACTTCACAGGACTCGCAGCACCAGTCACCTGTTGGAGAACAAGAACAAATGTGAAGTCTGACTGAACAGGAAGGCGCTGGAAAGAAGTGGAAACAGAGAGACAGAAGTGCTCTGAGAGAGAGAGGTCATGAGGAAGATGGAAATTTAAGAAAAAGACAGAAAAAATAGAAGGTTTTCAGGTTGGGTTAATTCAAGAAGTAAAAGAGGCTTTATATTTTGAAATGTTGAAACAAAAAGAAACAAAGAAGAGAAAAAGAATTTCCACACAATGTTACAAAGAGGCATTTCTAGAGAAGGATATAATACAGGAAGAGAGCACCACAGCTGCAGAAAAATAGGAGGTGGTGGAGGGGAGAGTAGGGGGAGTGGGGAACCCATGAGTTCCACCTTAATACTAAAACAAGTCAACCACAACAGTAGCCTGAATCATCCCTTTCCCACTCCATGCCCATACACTCGACCCTTCCCTTTTACCTCCCCGTAGAGCAACATCATCCTCAAATCCCACATAAAATATTATTATTATTTTGTTTTATTTATATATATAAGAGTTGTTACATTCCTGTACAGCCACTAGCACGCATAGCGTTTCGGTCAGATCCTTAATCCTAATTTTCCCCCGGAATACGACCGGCCAAATCGTTTAACAACTAAGTATCCATTCACTGCTGGGTGAACAGAGGCTACAGTTAAGGATTGGCATCCGATCAATCCTCCCCGACTAGGATACAAACTCAGGCCAAAGCGCTCGTGAAGCGCCTGACGAGTGTGTAACCACTACGCCACGGGAACTACCAAAATAAATCTTGCTAAACTAGACAAAATATCTATCTACGAGGCTCCTCTCTCCAGCCCCTTTACATATAAATAACACACTGAGAAGCTAACGTCACCTGCTGTAAAAAAAAAAAAAGACAGCGAATACAGAGAAAAACAGAGAAAATCTTTGACGCGAGGTACTGAGGCGGACACCATTACAACATACTGCCCATCCCGTACCCTAGACACGATCTCCATAGCAAAGTAAAGATATGCTGGAATACGCACTCCATAAATGGACAGAGAAGTAGGTATTACGTTCTGCCCCCAAAAGGCATAAAAAAGGGTCACTGGGCAAGACATAAGAGACCGGTTTCCCGAGGTAATCGAGGTGACATTATCTGTCATTACACAAGGGAGCTCTTCCCTCCAGGATGTGTGCTGGTTGGTTGCTACGCAGGACGCCACGTTTCTAATACATGGAGGCTCAGGTGTTTAACACGTGGAGGATCAGATGACTTTCCCTATCATAAGCCGACAGGTTGACCCCTTTTCCTATTTACCCCAATCTCTCATTATCCTCCCTTTTATGTAACCTATCTTTAGTCACTTTTTCGTTATTCCTCTTTATCTTGTTCCTCTTCTCCCTTCATTCTCTCACTAACTCTCCCTCATATCGAAAAGATAACCGAATCTAGTTCCCGGAGAATTAAGATAACGCACAAAACAAAGTCTTATGCCGCAATGCTATAAGGACGAAGGTAACCGTGGTCCGAGCGTAGAGGCAAAGGAACACGGGAATTAAGAAGACCCAGACGAGGCTGGTCCTGTTTATATACGATCAAACCCGCCCAAATGTCTAACCTGCGCTTGAAATAATCTAATTATCCAGCATCTGTTAAGTTACCTGGTAAATTGTTCCATAAAGCAGGTTGCGACAGTCGTCGACCAACAGCAGGTTGCGACAGTCGTCGACCAACAGCAGGTTGCGACAGTCGTCGACCAACAGCAGGTTGCGACAGTCGACGACCAACAGCAGGTTGAGCCACCACCTGTATGGCTGACTCTCAGATCCGCTCACACATTATCGGAAGACTCAGCACTGATGTCAACAACTGATGTATCAACGCTGAATGCCACAGCTCAGCGCCATCATGGTATGCCTGACCACCGTATACGGATACCTGAGGATCATCTTGATATGATTGAGCTAAATCTTTGGATGTCCGAGCACTATCTTAGTATATACTTGAGCGCAAGATGACATTTGTTGTTGTCTGCAGGAAGCTTTATAATACAAACTATTAATGAGATGAGTACAGGAGTAGGTGGTGCAGAGGTGCCGGACATAATTATGAATTAAAGTCATACTAATATTGCTGGGAGTTCGACAGGATCAGGTGAGATCGCCTTTCACGCTAGCAATTGTGTTCAGTACAAAGAAACTAGTTAGATTTACTGTAATATCCTACTTATATATGTGTATATATATATATTATATATATTATATATATATATATATATATATATATATATATATATATATATATATATATATATATATATATATATATATATATATATATATATATATATATATATATATTTTGGTCGAAGGCAAACTGGTTGCATGGAAAGGTAAAAAAAATTATGAGGAGAAAGCATTAGCCAGTGTGACCATTTCTGGACTGTTCAGCACTTGGGAGGGACACGAGGCCAAGGATATGAGTGTGGAGCGGAGAGAGAAGGGGGAGAGAGAAGGGAGAGAGAGAGAGAGAGAGAGAAATATTGAGTTAAAGTACATTCATGTTTAGAACATCCTTTTCCTTAATTGGCTTTATGATCTCCAATCTTTATTTGCTGTGGTAATATGTTGCAAACGTAAATCAGGCGGATAATAAATGATCGTTAATAGAGTTATAAAACTTGACCCAGAGGGTCCACTCTGGAGCCAGAGTGGACCCTCTGGAGCCAGAGTGGACCCCCCTGGAGCCAGAGTGGACCCCTTGGAGCCAGAGTGGACCCCTTGGAGTCAGAGTGGACCCCTTGGAGCCAGAGTGGTATGCTTGGTAGCGAAGCTGGTGGAGCAAGCGGGTCACCTTGAGGAGGTGCTTGGCCTTCTACTCATAGTAAATAAAGCTAATCACATTTCCCTCCTACGTGCTGAACACTTTGTGGTTTGTTCTACCTAACCCATAATGGCGGTGGCGCAGTGTTGGTATTGATTTAGATTCAGCTGCTGGGAAGAAAAGTTCCAAGTAGCATGGGCTATGGTGAGCCCGTGGGGGGGGGGACTTACCTGGTACAGGAGCGGGGCTGTGAATGATCGATTGACACGGATACCGGTATTATGTTGTGACACTGGATACAGGGATTATATTACAACATAATAGTCGTGGGACTCGTGTATTGTTTCAATCGTAGGGTAGACAAATAAATAAATGAGTTTGGGTGGACATTTATAATTTTTGTTGGGGACAGGCAGCCTGCGTAAGTATATATGTTAGGCTAATATCAAGGTCCTCCCAAAAGAAGAACTACAGACCCTCACAACAGTTGCCTAACTGCCGGGTACGTATTTACTGCTAGGTAAACAGCCGTATTAGGTGAAAGAAAAGATGCCCAATCATTTCTACTCCCGGCCGGGATTCGATCCCGGGATTCCCGACTGTGAATAGAGAACCATTCGCATGAGCCTTTCTAAATTTTCCTTCACTGTTATATTCTTATGAACAGCGACTATGATGTATGCTTTAATATACTTATTTTAATAAACTAATCTATTCTGTGATACAATATTAAAATGTCCTTTCACAAACTTTTAAGGACATAAGAGTCAAGGAAACTGCAGGAGGGCTATTGGCCCATACGCGGCAGCTCCTATTTATATCCACCTAAACTCATATGAATGAGTTTAAATATATGAATATCTAAAACTCATTCATTTTGTACTAACCGACTCGTATTTAGACGAGCGATATTCTGTAACCAAATCTGCATTTGCACGTCAACAAACCTTTGTTGCATTAACACATAACTGTTGACCAGACCACACACTAGAAGGTGAAGGGACGACGACGTTTCGGTCCGTCCTGGACCATTCTCAAGTCGATTGTGAATGGTCCAGGACGGACCGAAACGTCGTCGTCCCTTCACCTTCTAGTGTGTGGTCTGGTCAACTTACTTTACCTACGTTATTGTGACTCATCGCCTGCAACAAATAACTATTGCTATCGATCACAAGTCAGTCGCGGAGGTAACCTGTAGAACCAACACCATACCAATTCCTTATACAGCCATAGATCTTATTTATTAAGCCCCAAATAATTTATGTAAAAAACACACACACAGGTCGCTTGAGTGAAGGTGTGTGTGTGTGTGTATTCACCTAGTTGTGCTTGCGGGGGTTGAGCTCTGCTCTTTCGGCCCGCCTCTCAACTGGTAATCAACTGTTTCTACTACTACTTTTTTTCCCCACACCACACACACACGTGTGTGTGTGTGTGTGTGTTGGTCTATCACAAGAGCGGCTATTGTATGGTGTATTCACCTACTCTACCGTCTTCACATTTCCACATTATGGCTCCCTGCACGACAGCCGGTTAGCAACCGGTTACCATCAGCGCGGCCGTTGCCGTAAACAGCCGCGCAGAAAAGGGCGTATCTTACCAGCTTGGCAGATTCTTCGACACGTTAACCACTTATGCAACCTGGCGTGGTAGTCTTCTCGGGGCGCTGCCTTGGATTCCCTTAACAACGGAGGCATGCGTCTCTCTCTCTCACACTTTATCGTTGTTTTAGATTCAGCTTCCCGGAACAAAATGTCCATGTAGCACGGGCTATATAGTGACCCCATAAACAAATCCACAAGGGCCGTGACGAGGATTCGAACCTACGTCCGAGAGCTTCCCAGACGCTGCCTTAATCGACTGAGCTACGACATGGTAAAAGAATTGCAACCAGAAATTCTACTGAATTTACGTGGATCCTGCAGCCTCTCCGAGACACAAACCAGGATTTTATACAATTCCCCCATGCACTCGAGCTATGTCAATAGGCCGTTCTACCTCTTCGCCCTTACTTCATTACCCACAGGAATGCTCTTGGACGCAGCTTCGAATCCTCGTCACGGCCCTTGTGGATTTGTTCATTTGATGCATCACGCTATTGTGATTTCTGTGTGTGTAGTGACCCCGTAATCTCACACACACACACACACACACACACATATATAATCCCACTATTTATAACAAAAAAAGGGTTCAGTACGACGCCTCGGGATTAGATCCTCAAATAACACCTTACGAAGAGGTTTGACCTTAACACGCAAACTTTGCCTCTGACGTCAATATTTCACAAGTTGAATGAAAGTGGGCTGGCGAGTGTTTTAGTCCCAGCATGACACTCAAAGATGGTGTTGCTTCTGCACCTGTGTTGTTTTAGCCATCCGGGGATATTAATAGGGTATTAAAAGTATCAACACAAGACAGAACATGAAACAATGGGTATAAATTGGATAAGTTTAGATTTAGGAAAGGCTTGGGTAAATACTGGTTTGGTAACAGGGTTGTTGATTTGTGGAACCAATTACCGCGTAACGTGGTGGAGGTGGGGTCCCTCGATTGTTTCAAGCGCGGGTTGGACATGTATATGAGTGGGATTGGCTGGTTATAAATAGGAGCTGCCTCGTATGGGCCAATAGGCCTTCTGCAGTTACCTTTGTTCTTATGTTCTTCTCTGCTCTCTACTCTTGGCTCTCCCTCACCCCTGGTACCAAGTGTCTCTCCCTCACTATGTATCTCTCCCTCACCATGTGTCTCTCCCCCTCACCCTGCCTCTCCCTCACCCCGGCACCCTCCCCATCTGGCACTCACACCGGCAATGTCTGCCAATACACACCACATCAACAATTCCTCGCCAGGGTCACGCCCGAGGAATTTCTTGTTGTTGCACTTCTATTTATTGCTGACTATTTCCCCCTCCCAGGTAACCCTCCTAGCAGGTCCGTCCTAAACTCTTGACACTATTTCATAGGAATCTTTCCTAGGTCTCATACTCCCCTGTCTCTGGCACTTCAATTTTTGCAATCTTATCGCCTCCTTCCTTCATTTGGCACTCCATTCACAGCCTCTCCATTGGCAGTGGCACCGTGTAAACACGTGACGACCTTGTGGACAGTCGAGTATCTCATCTCTCAAGCACGGACGTCCCTCGTGTCGTACACAGGCACAGCTAGGTAATCCTACAGATAATCAGATAACGCCAGCGCAGCTACACACGCGAGACATTACAAGGATATACAGCTAGTACAGTTTGTGATTGTAAGGAAACACGTAAGCAAAAGGTCCGGGAGTCAATACAATAGTTGACGAGCGATTGTGCAGGGCGGGGCCCAACAGCTGATGCTTCCTCCTATATGCACATCTGGGCGAGTCTATGAGATTTACATACACGGAAGAGCAAATACGTAATAGTTACATGGCCTACCACACAAACATGGGTAGAAATACTAGAAACTGGGCTCTTCACAGAGCAGGAACTATCTCACTCTCGCTAACAAGAAAACGGCAACCCGTCCTCAGCTCCAGTCCATTACATCCAGCGGTCGACCCCACAGACGCATTCAAAAATTTTTACATGCTGTTAAATCAAAACAGTTACTTTCTCAAATATAAATTAATATTATAATATATTAGCACATTGTGCATATATAGGCATAGGTTAGGTTAGGTGTTTAGGTTCTGTTGGCGATTATTTGTATTTGTAGTACGTGGGCGAAGCATTTATAGCATTGTGGTTCGAACAAAATTCACAAGTGAAGCACTTGTTCCGGAAGTGTTCGGACGTCATCAGTTGTGAGTCGTGTGTAACAGCCCGTCCTCCAAACAAAGATCCAAAAGTGATTCCATCCACCCGCCAAACCCCCTGTTTATGAATGAAAAGCGGTTTACACACGACTCACAACTGCTGACGTTCGAACATATCCGGAACAAGTGTTTCACTGACGAATTTTGTTCGAATCACAACGCTATAAATGCTTCAGCCACGTACTACAAATACAAATAATCGCCAACAGAATCTAAATACCTAACCTAACCTAACCTATGCCTATATATGCACAATATGCTAATATATTATAATATTAATTTATACTTGAGAAAATTCCCGTTTTGAATGAACAGCA